CTTTTTACCAAACTGCAGGAACTCATATGACTTTTTAAAATGAATAGTATAGGTGGATTAGAAGCTCCGTATTCCTGGAAGGAAGCCAAAATATCTGCAATGTCCAAAGCTATCCTAATAATGAGAGAGCACCTAAGAGATAACTAGCTTGTTGACTTTGCAGTGCTCAAAGGCTTAATCCAAGCCCTCATCTTAGAAGAGATGAAGGAGGGGAGTATTTCTTTAATAAGTTGCTCCCTGAGTTGGGAGCAGGAGGCTTGTAAGTACTTTCATTAAGTACCCAAGAATCAATTAGCTTTACTTCAGTCTTATGTCCAGTTAAAGCAATAAAAATTTTCTCAGCTACCAAAAAAAAAAAAAAACCAAGAGAGAGCTCTAGAATTTCCCACGTTTTTGGCTTAGACAACCCACTCACCTCTCAGGCCAGCGTAAGGAGTGAATTACAAGAACATAAAAAAAGATTACAGAAGACAACTTCAGACAATCTCTGTAGGCAATCATTTAGGGATCGTATTTTTTAAAACTTCGACCCAGCAAGCTGTAGGTGGTGGGTGACTGTTTTGCGTGACGTGCGACAGAAGAAAACGCATTTTAATTTTCTGTGTACAAAGTGATTGAAAATGTTAACTTTTGCAACAGGTCTGTTCCTATTCGCCTGCTTTGCGAGAGGCAGGGATGTGTGAGACCAGAAAGACAGATAATGCGAAGGGAAAGAAAAAGAAAATAGGGCAGTGGCGATGCCCTGAGTCTCAAAGGGCATTACAGATGCTAAATGGTAATAAGCAGAACCAAGTCAAAGTGCTGCCTGATCTACCGTAAGTAATACCTATAACATCACCACTTTTATTCTGCTTTGGGGGACAGCTTCTGACCTGACACATTTCTTGAACTTTATATGACCTGTTTTGTTGTCTACAAATTACAGCCACTGACAGAAAGCTCCATTGTAAACCTGTAACACCTCTGGGCTGGGGTTCCCCCTTTCTCCCCATCCTCCATCTCAGTGTACGTGCAAACTGATGTAGTTATATTTTCCCAATATTCAATTTAAAGTGTATGTAAAGAAGTCGAACTGTTCATAGAATTGCCTTTAAAGAAAGTTTAATTGTGGGTAATTTAATCTTATTACTGTTTTAAATACAGTTATAATTAGATGACATAGAAATTATGTAATTAAGACATTTCAGAAACAACTCTGAAATGGATAGATTTAAGTATGCTGTATATACACATTTAAAAGCATTAAGTATGTATACATTATCTTAAAATATAAAATACTGATTTTAGATGTATCTCTGTTGGTCTCTTTTCAGTGACTTAATCTTTAATAAGTGCCCTCCATTGCCAAAGAGGCTTAGAGTGAAAGCAGAAGTTGGGGCTTCATACCCCAAAGAGAATTGCCACCCTTTGGCTGAAGAGGTACATTTTTACAAGAGAAATGCTAAAGGTATTCTGTATATCTAATTTATGTTAAGAACTTTATATGGTTAGAATCAACAGTTTCAGGCTGAAAAATCTTGTCCTGATGAATGCTGAACTAAAGCGATGGCTTATGCACAAGAATTATTTTCTTATGGTCCATGTTTCTTTTTTCCAATGTCTAGTTGAAAGGAGGAATTGTATATATGATGGAATAAAGCTGCCTTCTTCATTCCCCTCCCCCTCCCTGATATTAAATACAGTGTACAGCTTGTGTGAGCTCATTCCAGTCTTGCCCGCCTTACTTTGCTAATCCACCTCAACCTGTGCTTGGTAGGATCAACGTCTTCTGATTTGAAAGTATAATTCCGTCTTCATCTCTTTCAGTCCTAGACATTTTGTGAACAAAGACTGAGGAGTATGCTATGCTACATAGCTGTGTTAAGCATATGGACTGTTTTCTTCCAGGCATTCAGCCCAGACTATGAAAGGCATTTGGCTTTTGTCTTAGTTATACTGGAACCCAAGTACCTAAGGAATAAAACAGCGCTGCAGTAATTCATTCGCTTCCTACTTACTACACGAGTTTAATAAATCATACTTTACATGAGCCATTACCTGAAGAGAATTATTTGCTGGAACTACTTTTTTGTCATCTTCATCATCAGAAATTTACCTGTATAACTTAAAACATGAGTATATTAATATGACACCCAAGAGAAGGCTTAGAAAAAAACTGGCAAAAGCAAGCTGGGATTGTTCAAGAAATTAAAACCAGAATTGTATCACAAACACTGAAGGACAAAAAAAAAAAAACACCCTCTTTTGGGATTTAGGAGAGCTTCAGTAACAGAGCCAGACCATGCATTTTTAAAATTGGTTCCCTTTCTCTTTATTGCTTTTGCAAGTAAAATTGATGTGAATTATTATATGCTGACTTCTACACAGAAAAGTGAGCTGAAGGACTGGGGGGGCGGGGGGGAAATCAACAAAATCCCGCTTTTTTTCTATTCTTCCCCTGCCAAAATTGTAAGTAGTATCTTCTTGTTGAAAGGATGAGTATGGAGCTGACAGATTTACATAGTGAAGGTATTAATATAACAAAATACACCCTGTAAATCTTATCGCAAAGGCTGAGAGATTCAGCCGGAGATATTTTTCATTTCTAAGATGTTTTGTTGCATCATCTTTCACCTGGCATCAAGGTTTTCCTCTGGCTCTTGTTCAAACCTAATCATTTAGTGAAAGCAAAACAGCGTTTAGAATGGGTCTGAAGTTTTTATCGTGCAGAAACTAATGGTGTCTTTACACATAAGCAGCAGTTCTCAGTTGCTTGCTGTTGAATTTTTTTGCACTTCAGATTTACATGGTACTAAGGCTTGGGATCTTTTTTTTCCTAGAGGATTTTCTTTTTTTATTATTATCATTATTTATTATTATTATTATTAGGACCCCTTCATTTATTTCTCTCTCTTTCCCCCTCCTTTGCTACTGTAGCCAAGTCAGACAGCCTATTGAGAAACAGCAAACCATCTGTTAACGGATTTGAAGTTCTGAATTATACTTGAGTGTGTAGAGGCACTCGTGCTTAGCCAGAAACATTCATTTGAATTAAGCTATAAATGCTGTGTAAAAAGAACCATACATTTTAACGTAGGGTTCATGAATAAATTTAAGGGAGGGCAACTGCACTCTAAAGTTTTATTGCTTCAAAACCCAGTATTTTTGGTGTTCTGTGATCACTTGGTTCTTTCATAGTGTGATTGAAGCTTTAAACCTTGAGCTGGGGGGGAGATAATTCCTGTGTTAAACCGTTTGCAATACAACTTCATTGCTGGATCTCTGGTGGAACAGCAGCTCTGTGCTTGCTTTTTGGTGTTTTTTTTTAATTTTCTTAAAAGATGGCTAAACAGGATAAAGGAAAATCTTACTCATTATTGAATTTTCTGGCATATAGCCAGGTCTCCTAGTTCCAGGCACTTTGATTATTTTCTTTAGTTGCTATCTTGCCTAGTCTAGTGTAATCTATTAATTTTTTATGGTAGGAGAGACAGCCCTGCATAAAGCTTGCAGAAGTAACAAAGTGGAGAGTTTGATTCAGCTTCTTTTTTTTTCTGGAACAGACATTAATGCTAAAGGTAAGTTACTCATTTTCTCTACAGAACTAAGACGTTAAGCCAGATAAAGAACTGTATTAATATCTGTTTGGCAATAAAGTTTGTATTTATACTGTTAAAAACTGTCTTTGTTATTTCAAACACCACAAAATGAGGGCTTTGTAGCAAACATTGAGGAAAGGTTCGTTTGTAACTAAAGTGTGTTTTAGCATCACATTTTCTATTGATTTTTTTAAAAAAATTATATTTAATTTTTTTCAGATGTTTTTCAATAGAATTTCTTGTTTGTAAATCACGAGCTGCCGCTGTAGCCACGATAAATACCAGCCAGTAAAGTGTTTTGCTGTCTAATGAATTACATTATTAACATTTTAGTACTACTTCTGGTGTTTTAAAACTTCCCTTGATTTATAATTCAGACTATGCTGGCTGGACGCCTTTGCATGAAGCCTGTAACCATGGCAGCACAGTGTGTGTCCGTGAAATTTTGCAGCGTTGTCCAGAGGTAGACCTGCTCAGTCAAGTGGACGGGGTGACTCCTTTGCATGATGCACTGTCAAATGGACATGTAGAAATTGGCAAGCTGCTCCTTCAGCATGGGGGTGAGTGCATTTATGCTAAAACTGGTTTAGGGGAATTATCCACTGTTCTCGAGTCCATAGGAAGTTCGTGGTGTTTTTCTTAATAGTTGCTTAAAATACAATGTTATTGTGAAATATTTATTTTAAAACATTTTTAAGCCGAGCTGGTTTGGTCACAATAAAAATAATACTGTTTTCACACTTACCATGATCAGCTGAATATGAAATTAACCAGGATTTTCACATTTTTTTCCAATATGGTGATGTTTTTATTGTGCATTTTACGCCATATGCATTATAACTATATTCTCCAAACTCATTAATGAAGATAAAGATTACGTAGTCACCAAGCAAAGCTAAGGATTTTCTTTTGTTTTGATCTGTTTTTACCATGATGCAAAAAGAGATCAGTAAATCTCTATATAATCATGTATTTCAACATAAATTTGTTCAGCATTTATGAAAACTAATGTGATGGTCTTTGAAGAATACAATTAGCTTGGTAATTAGTTTAAGAAAGGAATCTATATTGTAATTGTGATAACTGCTGTTTAGGGATAATAGTGGGAGGGATTCCTTAGTTTCTAAAAAAAGATACATTGCCCCTTAGGCAGACACATGATAAATGTTTGGAACAAAATTTTTTGTTCAGTGATAGGGAACTTGTATCTTGTCTTGAAATATACTCTATGAATATAATTAACTTGGCATTTTTTTTTTTAGAAAAAAGCAAGTGTAAAGGATGGTCTTGGATATCAGCTCTTCCTGCTTTTACTTCATTTGCTAAAATGAGTATTTGTGATATCCTTACCATTGACCTACAGTGTCAGTTTAATCTCTCTGCCTTATGTGCCGAGTCCAGATTTTTTCAATAAAAATCATTCTGCATATAGCCAGGAGGCAGAAGAATGCACTGTATTTAGAAGGCCTATTACTTAATTAAGGTAGAGAAACAAAATTTTCTTCCCTTCTTGGCATCAGACCCTCTTATTTACAGTCTTCTCCTGCCCCCTAAAGGCTGTTTCTCTCTCTGTCGTGCAAGCTCCGGCTCATAATCAATACATTCCTCTGCAGTTCTACTCTTGTGTTTGCTGAGCTTCAGTTCTGCGGCTCCCAGGTGTTTTATATATCTACTGAACCATGTATCTGACATGCCAAGCCAATACCTGGGCTCAGTTCAATCGCTCTTAAGTGATGCAATAGCCAATATTATAGTAAGCCCAGCTCCTCAATTGGAAATGGCATTGCACTGACAGATGTGCATTTTTCCTAGGCTATTGTGAAGAATAGCTAGCGGATGATCCTGTTGTCCTAGGGGAAGAGCTCTACTTGCACTTGCATTCATCAAGGTTTTCTGGCAACTGTAAGGCTGCGTGTACCCTTATCTTTGCCTTTGTCACACTCTGGGCTTTGGCCTGTCAAATAACTGACAAGACTATGGTAGGAAGCATGTTACCCATTCAGTGTGGATTTACTCAGCTCAATAATTTAGAACACGTCTCTGCAAAAACTTCTTCCACTTTTCCGTCTCTTAAAAAACCTTCAGCGTGCAAAATTTAATTACGTTGCGTAATCAGTGGTGGAGTAAAACAGTACAGCTTTAATCACAGCAAAGTTAAAACCTCTGGTATGGATATGTCATGCGGTGAATTACCTTTTGTAATTAAAATATATTTCTGCAAAGGTGTTCCAGGTTAAAATGGCATCGTTCCTTCAGCCTAGTAACTCAGATTTACGTGAGAAGGATCCTGATGTGTTCATCTTTGAAAAATACCACCTGTAGTGTGTTAACTGCCTTCATTTTTACTTACTGATGCAGCTTTTCTTAAACTTATCAAGACATCTGTAAACTGTTTAAATACTAAGAGCTCCGTTGTACTAATAAAGAGGAAATAACAAAAGAATGTTGTATAATCTGAACAAGTAAAACATCTCTCATTTACTTATTTTCAAGCTATTTATTAATCACTTTTTGCATTCCAAAAGTCTCTTAAGACCAAATTTTGAATACTCAGTTGTTGAGGGAGACTAGGATTCCTACCTCAATAGTTTACCTTGCTGCATAGCCTGGGACAAGGTTGGCCATACCATCCTGAAAAGTTAAAAAAAGACCATCATAGTAACGTGCCTTTAATTTGGAGTCAGTGTCAGCAAATAACCTGGTCTATAAAATACTTAATAGAATTTTACATAGTCTCTGTTTATCATTACTTGAAATTTCAGGATGAGCAACATCTGAATTTCTTTTCCATTTCTGGGTAATAATCCTTGGCTTTCAACCTAGCAACACTGGGAAAGAAAATTAAGACAATATCGTAAATGAACTGTTACAGAGGGTCTCCCTTCTAGATTGTGTTGCAAATGTGTAACTCATCAGTTACATCAACATAACTTACTACAAAAAGGAATTTAAACAGACTCCTAGCTTCTGGCAAAAACCAAACTAAAATCTTGTTCAGCTGCCAAAACGAGCGTGCTGTTATTATTAATGTTTATATTTTCCCTGCAGGACCAGTCCTTCTACAGCAGAGGGACTCCAATGGAAAACTGCCACTGGATCATGTTGAGTCCATACCAGTAAAGCAAGAACTTTTGAACATTGTTCTTCCAGAAGAGAACATTGAAAACTACTACAAACGCACAGAACAAGATTTTTGCAATCAGCAGAGGGAACTGTGGTTAATTTTATTTAATAAGATGCTGCTGAATTTTTGTTCCGTTTATAATCTGTCTTCACCCTTTACTTTAACTCTCAGAGGGGCAGCTTGTTCAAATGTACTTCCCATAATGGCTCGTGATAACTGTAAGATGAAAAATACATTTTCTACAGATTGGTTAGTAGATACGTATTTTAGAGAGCTGGAAACTTTTCAAAAGCTACCACAGTTTCTTCAAGAAATATCTGCAAACATGGTTTTTTTCCCTGGAGAACAGATGAAGGCTTTATTAGCAACTCTGGAAACTATGGTAGAGGCATATCAGCTCTTTACCTAAATCTTTTTAACAATTAGCTTCCAAACAAGCCCTGTTGGTTGAATCTTGACTGTTAACCCTTGGCCTTGGGATAACTTTTTTTCCAGCAACCAAGGAAGTACAAATTGCACAGCCTTGTACAAGCCCCACGTGTCAGTGTCTCCCATATTTTTAATACTTTCCTGTGCCAGAAGCTAGAAGTCAGATGCATTGATTCACTGCAATTTTTTAGGCAAATTTTTTCCAATGCCAATGCCTTCTAGTTGTCTGACAGATCTGGATGCCTGTGACTACCTCACAAGGGTGATACATTATTTGCACCATGTTAAACTTCTGTTTCTGGTCCTGTTACCCATTTCATGCCATAGTTCAACTTTGGTTTCCAGAGATAGTGACCCTAAAGTTAAACCAACTTGAAACACTACAACAAGCAGTTTTTCCTCGAGAAAGGCTTGTGCCTATGTATTTCAATATCCTTTAGTAAAACTGATATTATAAATTTCTGACAATATACAAAAATATATGGAAAAGCAAATTCCTTCTATTTTTGTCTTATTTATCCTCGACTTGTAAAAATTAAAATCACATTGTGTAAATTAATTACGTCTTGTAATTAATTCCAAACAGAAGGCAGTATATCTATATTGACAGAATCAGTGTACTAGCATTTCCCACGCTGTCTTTTTTGGTTTGATAGAAATGGTCACACAAAGGTCTGTGGAAAATCTTCTTCTCCCTCATCAGCATATGCAAATATGCTGGTGATCATATTCATCTGCACAATGACTGAATTGAGGAGACCCACCCAGATACCTGGGTGGTGTGCAGAGCTCCAGTGGTTACCACAACTTTAAATCAGTCAAATCATGTTGCTGCTTCTTCCCAGGCCAGTGATGCTGTGAAGGGCCAAATCCACCCTCGGCATAACTTGGGGTGTCGTTGGCTCTGCTCTGACTGGCGTTGGCTTGCGGTGGTTTGATAAATCCATTACGTTGGCAGGGTGTAAAATGATCTGGTAAAACACTCCTGGGATTCCCTCTCCTAAAGATGCCGGTGGAAGCAGTGGCACAAATCTAGTTATGTTGGCAGGGGAATTTACAAAGGATTAGACAAGAAGGTTTAAGTATGTACTGGGCATCAGATTCTGACACTAAGTATGGATCTCCTTAAAAATTACACCCCATTTAATACGAGAATTTTGTTCTCCATTCTGTGAATACATGCAAACTACACATGATAAATCCTCTAAACTAATCCCCTAACCTAATTTAGGATTGTGTGCTACATATTCTATCAGATGGTCCTTTTAATTAATTAAGAAAAAAGAGAAAATCCTGTGCTGTTCTTTAAAAATAATTGAGGCTTGTGAGGCAGCTGAACTACATTAATTGTGCAGTGTGGGGTTGGGGATGGGGAAGAGTTTTGGAGAACTCTTATTACACATTTATACACCAACAACTACTCTTCCTGCCTTGCATCTTGGTAGAGATCCAGTGCCAAATTCATATCAGTCTGAGGTCTGGGAAGAGAGACATTTCCTAAGAGAAGTTTTTCCCTTTCCCCTCCAAAGGAAGAGAAGGAAGTGCTGCTTTAGAATGAGGATACCTGATTTTTTTTTTCCCCTAACAGATTCAGTAATAGATCAGGAGTAATTTAAAATCTTAGCCTTCAAAAGGAAGGTACTAATTAGCAACGTTTCCAATTCCAATTCTTCTGTAATAGCAATTTATAATATTAAAAAAAAGGAAGAACTCTAAAAGAAAGGGTGTTGGATAATAGCTGCTTCTGAAATTGATGTTGCTTGACTAGAGGGAATAAGTTACATTGATGCAGGTGGCTTGCAGCACATTAAAACTTCCATTTAGCCTTTCTGCAGCTGAGATATATGATCTCACAGCAATTAATCCACTGAAGATGCTCAGACTGAGTTGGTCTTGCAACCAGACTTTCCTTACAAATGTTCAGTGTTTATTAATGACTGATGATTACTTTTGTACCTACATGCAGGACAGCCTGCTGTGATATAATAAAGGGTCAGTGCATATTGGATTTGTTTCTGTTTCTGCACTTTTGAATTTTCTGTTAGTAAAGAGCACCCAAAAAAACCTCCTTTGTCATATATGAGAGGGACTGATAAACATCAGTATTCCCTGTTGTAGGACACGATGAAAGAAATGCTATGTACCTAACTTACTAAAGAATGCAACATATGCAGAGTTTAAGTTGTCAATATTAACATTTTCTTTAGTCATGAATTTGATAGGTAATTGGGAATTTAAAATAATTGGGACACAGAGAACCACAGTAAAATAATTCTTTCTGGTGGATCTGGAAAAGCAAATGCTTCAGAATATTTGTAACTATTCCTAATATAATACATTAGTGGCTGAAACAGAAGCAGGAAAAGATTATTTTGGTCTGATAAAGAGGGTGATTCTGCTTATATATTCAATATATTCCCATAATTATTTGCTATTGTGTCATTTAAACAGGAAAAAAAAATACTTCAATCATTTATAAGTCCTACTTAACTATTTAAACAGATTTCAAGTACATCTCTCCAAGATACCGTTAAGAAAAGTAGATAACTTATGCTAAATGAACATTATTAACATTGCAAAATGAAACATTCGAAAGTTAGCAAATGTCTGAATTAATATTCCACATGTAGCCCCAACTTAGGTATTGTCTCTGTGCATCGTCAGTCTTTAATTATATGGTGACACAATTTTGTTCTCTCTAATGTTCTCTCAGTTTAAGGATCATATACTGAAAATTTTCCTGTTATTTCCCAGTTATGCTCTTAGAAGTTCAGTTTTATACATATTCAGTTTTATAGACACTCAAGTTTGCAAACTCCGTATCCTTAAAGAATCTTAAGTATATCTCAGTCGTATTTAACATAAAATTAGGTGCTTTGTCTAATTTATTAGAGAGTACCTGTTCTCTTTCAGAATAGCAAAACTTCCCTGTTAAATCATGATAGCAACGAAGTGAGATCTATTAAGTGATTAAACTGTCTGCTTTTTAAAATCCCTTTTGGAATATAGGGTATTTCCCACTTCCTGGCTTAGTTAAAAGAACAAACAAAATCAGCCAAGCATCCCCCATCCCCTTTTTTTTCTCTCTATGCCCATGTTTCACACGCCGACACGCTTCACGAGCACGAAGGTACATCTTCATCCTCAATCAATCCTGGTTTTCCCAGGCCTTTGAAAAGTTCTTTGTTATCCTCCACCCTCAGCATACAGTTGGAGAATATCCCTTTGGCACAGGTACCAAGTGCTGCCCAGACAGGTAAGTAATACTTGGTAGCAGCAAAACAGAAAGTAGAGCACTTTGGAATTATAATAGCACCCAAAGACGTTGGCCAAGCTTCAAAAGTTGCCAACAAAGTGGTATTAAGCCCAATTTCAGTGTTCTGTTTTCTCTGACACGTATATTTCTCTGTTTCACACTGTTGCCATTATTAAATATGAAGCACATCAGTTTATCTGAAAAAAAAAAAAAAAAAAAAAAAAGATCTTTGTGATATTTGTAACACTTTATAGAGTGTTTCTTGATTTTGGAATGGTTAAACTTGCTGGCAAATAAATCACTACTGTCAGTATAGCAGCAGCCTGGGCTCGGGAGTTTTACTGTTGACTTGTTTTATTTTTGTTTAGGAGCTTATAAAATTTAAATACTCCTGTGGCTTCAATAACCATTTAAAATTTCTTATAACAGAGAGGAGGTTCAAACCTCAGAGCCTGAGCTCCATTTCAACTACCTGACTCTGAATAGTCCCGAACCTCTTTCCTGCACCAGCTGCAATCTTAAGTGCTGCTAAATTGCTGCATTGCAAAGGGCAGCATCACAAATGCCCTGTGCAGAGTTAGTATCAAAAATCCTCACCCTGTCCCCCTGCACTGGGCACTGGTGAGGCTGCACCTCAAGTGCTGGGTTCAGTGTTGGGCCCCTGACTCCAAGAAGGACATGGAGGTGCTGGAGCGTGTCCAGAGAAGGGAACGGAGCTGGGGAAGGGTCTGGAGCACAAGTGTGCTGAGTTCCCTTGTGGCTGAGGGAACTGGGGGTGTTGAGCCTGGAGAAAAGGAGGCTGAGGGGAGACCTTGTGGCTCTGTGCAAGTCCCTTGGAGGAGGGTGGAGAGAGGTGGGGGTGGGTCTGTTCAACCAAGGCCCAAGGGACAGGCCAAGAGGAAATGGGCTCCAGTTGTGGCCAGGGCAGTTGAGATGGGATGTGAGGAAGAATTTCTTTGCTGAAGGGGTTCTGAGGCATTGGAAGGGGTTGCCCAGGGCAGTGGTGGAGTCCCCATCCCTGGAGGGATTGAAGAGTCGTGTAGACACAGTGCTGAGGGACATGGGTTAGTCATAGGGGACTGGTCAGTGTTGGGTCAATGATTGGACTCCATGATCTCAAAGGTCTTTTCCAACTGAAATGACTCTGATTCTATGGTCCTGACTGTTCCTTTGCCTATACGTTCAAGGACCGCGCTGAGCCTTTTGCCATAGCACCATGCCATGCTCCCGTGTGGCCAAGAGCACCCAGTAAATTCAGAGGAACCCACTTCCAGTTTATTGTCAGGTAAGTACAACCTTCATCATGTTGGTCTTACATTTAACTTGCACTGTCTGCATTAAGATACTTTAAAACAAACAAACAAACAAACAAACAAACAAACAAAAAACAGGGATCCAATTTAGTGACTGAACCAGACCAGTTGGTATGAGTGGTCCTTCCATCCCCTCCTGTGCTACCTGCAAAGGTCTGTGCCAATGACTCTGTGTGTATTGCGGTGAAACACACCATTCTGAATGCCAGTCCCAGAGGAACACCATGAGAAACACTTCATGCTCAGTGATTATTCCCAAGTGCATACTGTTTAAAATCTGTCAAATAACTCTTTTTCTTTTTTTTTATTCTGTTAAATGCACACTAAATAATTACAAGAATCAAAACTGTAATATATGAAGATCCTTACAGTTTTGTAAATTTATCACTGTATTTATCAGGATATCAAACC